TATATATATATATATATATATATATATATATATATATATATATATATATATATATATATATATATATATATATATATATATATATATATATATATATGTATATACCCCAGGTTAGTTCATAATTAGGTACTGTTAATTGACTTTTCAGTTAATTAATATTATTATAATATAATTGAGAAATAGTGGGACGCTATTTCCGACAGACAATTACCCAATATTTACTGACAATAATTTCCGTGTCATTCTCTATAAAACACCCAGCCAGTCCAATAAAGCAGAGACAGCTTCTAGATCCCGATTCATCGGTAAGTTATCTATTTTATACACATGTTCATGGTAATTTAATGTAATGTCAAGGAGATGATTTTTGTAAGTGGCCTGCCGTATTATATTTGTTCAACATCCAACGCCCAGCCCCGTGCAGATGAAATTAATCATTTCTGTTCCTGTTCTTGCAGGCTGACTGCTAGGAACCACTTTTTATTGCATCATCCATTCCATTATACCCTCTTGAAATCACATCGCAATGCAATGCATTTTCCCGTTCTCCCTCTTAATCTATACGATTTCCTTGATAGTACACCATGCCATAAGTCTATTAATTCCTCTATTCATCTATTCTCAGTGATCTTTCCTTGACCAAGTTTTTTAATGACATTGACTGGATCATAAAACATTTTACTAGACGACTAGAATTTTTGTGATTTGTGGTTGATATGACATGTTAAAACTCGCATACAGATAATAGAAAGATGCTAATTTAAATTGGAAAAGGTTTCCCACGAACATAGCCATGACGGTTTTGAGATTACAAATCTATCCGTTCTATATGTGCAGCAAGTATCACAATCTTGGTTAATGTGGTATAGTGTGATAGGAAGGATGGATTTGGTGTCATATACAACAATCTCGACTTTGGTTTAATTAGAGAGTGTGGTCAAGGTAGACATGAGGCATATGTGTGAAACTGGCGTTAAGATTTTCTGATTGCTTGCTGGTTTAACAGCCCCAGGATTACAGACTAACCACTCGTGTTGGGAAGTCTGGGTTACAGTAGTTATCATGAACTGATCTGCTTAGAAATAAACTGTCTCCAACTTTCATGAATGATTCGCTCATGGCCATCTGTATAGCTCCCATCACAGTAATGAAAGATGAAAAGGGTGAGATCTTTGGAACATCGACTATCTATTATCTAATTGACCTACAAACGAAAGGCTTCTAAATATAGGCAGATTTTGGTAGTCGCTGAAATCTGATTCTACTCTATCGCCTGTAACAGATTGAATATTTGCTATAATATCATTAAGATCTTTGTTATTAATTTAGTCACATCACATGTAAACAGTTTATTTAAACTACCAGAAACTGAGTAAAAATCCCTGGATGGCCTTTTGTTCCATTACAATGTATATATTCAGACTTCTGTTCGGTCAAATATTATGTTTGTATTTGTATTTCTGTTTTGCATACAGATTTCATCGTTTGTCAAACGCATCGACAACTATGAAGAAGGTACAAACTTTGATAATGGTGGTAGCCATGAGCTGCTTACATATGGTAAGTGTTTGAATGTCTTATGATACTTTAAGAAATGTCACTCTGAGTCAGATGGAATATAGCAAGCTATCAATTTTTACACGTGACAATTTGTCTCGAAATCGAGCGTGATCAACACACAATTGTCAAATTCGTTGGTTTTGTGGCGTATCAATAGAAACCTGTAGCGTTCTTTCAGAAGTTTACTGTATATTTCTATAACTATAATGGGATATACCAGAAATCATTTAATTGGAGATAAACAAATCGCGTGTAAAAGAAATATATCAGGTTGTAGCGACACCCAGCACCAAACGCCAACGACACAAACTCGATGTTCTATGCGCTGTAAAGAAAAAACGTACCACAATACATTAATCATACCAGAAACGTTTACACATGCAGCCACATCAACGCTTATATGTGAATTATCGTAATACAATTTTCGAGACTTCATGATCCTCGATTGAAAGCCAATTGAAATTGAATAATTTTTTTCATGTGTATTTTAAATATCTGTCTGTACCCTTCTATTTGCCATTCATTTCAGTCGTTAAAAGCAGAAGCGAGGAATTATGGACATAAAAGAAGTTACAGTACTGTAACTCCCATGAGTAAGTAATATAATAATAATTTTCAAGTCGTGTAAAAATTAATAAGCATATATTATTTGAAGATGATATATAACGTTTATGTCAGAATGACGAGATTAATGGTATTAGGATATTATTATATGGTTATCACTAGATACGATTAACTGCGGAATGATAGCATTTGATTGTGTGAATGTTTAACATGTGTATTTTCAATAAATACCAGATTACCACATGTAATTCTGATGGGTATATTTCGGATTTGTTGGTAGCGTCGTAATGTATTTGGTATATACATTTGTAATTATAAACAGATACCAAGATGTCAAAAATGATTTGGTTATACATTTATTCACACAAATAAGGACATATGAGATTTAATTATCATGTTACATATTTCTGTATTATTTTTTGTACAGCTTATGTGCACATTGGATGTTTTAGAGACACGAGTGACAGAGCTATTGAGACACTTGAGGGCACGGACTCTCGGTTGGATGGTTCTTACACATCGCGAGCAGATGCAATAAGAAAATGTGCTCAAGTAGCAAGTGACCGTGGTTTTAATATGTTTGCTGTACAAAACGGTGGCTGGTGTGCATCCAGTGCTACAGCGGCCTCTACGTTTTCCAAGTATGGTATGTCTGGAGCTTGCAATTCTGATGGCGAAGGCGGTCCTTGGGCAAACGATGTGTATGTACTGGACAAAGACATAGGTAATTGAATCATCGAAGTGTGGGATATGTATGTTAATATTAGCGCACAATAAGGAATGACAGTTTATTTATATTCTCTGTATCATACACGGTCCTTCTATTGACAAATAAGTAACAATGACAATTCGGAAATGTTTGAACAATTTGTAAGTATTTTAGTGAAACCACTAATTAATTTATAATCGAGTAATATTGAGCATATTACAAAAAAACAAGACTATCCGACATTGAAGTGTTTTTTATTTAAAAAAAAGTTATACTTAATAAAAAGTGCAGTAACTGATCATTTTTTTACAATTTGGCTGAGATGAACAAGATTGTTAAACGCAACTTGTTAATATAAAATTATTTCATCTGTGGAGAACATATACTCAGTCTTTTCAGAACACCAAACACAACATTTTTTCCAAAGGTCGCATATATTTCCTCTCATATAATGTTCAGTGATTTACACTCCCATTTTATTCTGCATGTTGTGTTTTTTTTTTGTTCCAGGATACGAACGTGTTGGCTGTTTTGGAGACACAAGTATCAGGGCGATTCCAACACTGGAGGGATCAGACCCCCGACTCGATGACAGCTACACATCGCGAGTAGATGCAATAGAGAAATGTGCCGAAGTGGCGAAAGATCTTGGTTATAAGATGTTCGGGGTGCAAAACGGTGGTTGGTGTGCATCTAGTGACACTGCGCATATAACTTATAATAAATACGGTTCATCAAGTGCATGTCGCAGTGATGGAGAAGGTGGGCCATGGGCAAACGAGGTTTATGTACTACGCGATAAAGGTAAGTATGAAATATGAAACTATTAGTACTGGAATTTCCAGTATTTATCAAAGTATGGATCACTTATACGTGGCGCATACCGGGAATAATGCAGCTATGCTTTTGCTGGTGGTTCTACGAGTTAGATCGTTAAAAAACTGCAATAATAATTGGTCAGGTAGATCTGACCTTTTCTGTTACTCATACTTCCAGCATACCTCTCCTTGATTTTATATTTTTAATTTTATATTTTTACTTCAAAACACACCATATTCACATATACTCGTTAAGCCTTGCATGAATTTCTAATGTTCCATCCTCTGCACATTCCAATCTTTGACTACAACACTTTTTTAGAAATAACACCACATTTTATGTATCTTTTGCACATTGAAATGTATCACGAAGGTTGCCAAATCTCAGAGAAACTATATATCCGATTTGAAATTTCAATTTTGTGAAATTCATAGAACCTTCACTAAACCGTCATATTCATTCATTCATGTATTATCAACGACATGGAATTCACCCACCTATGTCATTTATCTTAAAATTTATTCTTTTGTGTAAATAATTACTGTAGGTCATACTATTTCTCGTTTATGTCTCTTTCACGTTCGTGCATTAGATACATCATATCCGGTACCCGGAGAATACGTACACGTTGGATGTTATAAAGACACAAGTGACCGAGCCATTCCGACACTTGAAGGAACCGACGCCCGTCTTGATGGCTCATACATATCTCGTGAACATTCAATACACAAATGTGCCCAGGTATCACGTGATCGTGGTTTTAAAATTTTTGCTGTGCAAAACGGAGGTTGGTGTGCATCTGGCGGCAGTGCGTTATATACGTTTAATAAATATGGCGCATCCACAGGTTGTGCAGCAGATGGAGAGGGTGGACCATGGGCGAACGATGTATACATACTGAAAGATAAAGGTATAACATAAATAGTTAGTAGTGTAATAATAAGACTTACTCTATTGTTGAAAACGACATACGACTGTCGATGAAAAGTATTCCCTGGAATCAGCTTTAATCAAAAGTGCATTATGGTAGAACAGAAATAAACTTCTTTTTAATGAAGGGGAAAGTTCGAACTCATAGATTGAGACAGATTCTGGGTAATATACTGATGTTTACATGGAAATCGAGGCATATGGCTAGTAATCACATATGTCGCAAGGCATGTAGGCGGTTTATATACTGCTATTTTCAAGAATGATAGATGGGGACACTTCATAGCTGGCATGCTAGTCTTAACTTAACAGAGTGAAAAAAATCTTGATTTGTGATATGATATCTACTTAATTCTGATTCATATATTGGTGTCCCTTATTTAGAACAGTTCTCGATTTTTGATTGTCTACACATTGTCCCAATATCTAAGAGAAATATTTGGTTTGATCAAATTATAAATTGATTTTATAGTGATCACAGTTATCAATGGAATACAATCTGCAAGTAGTACAGAGAGGGAAAACATTTTTCACATTAAAGATAATTTGTATATTTTGTCACAGATTTATTGTGGACATTGATGACCACAGTATAAAATGTATTCAAACTATAAACTTTTTTGTCCAGAATATGCTAGGCTGGGTTGTTTCCGCGATACATGTGATAGAGCCATACCGACTCTTGAAAATACTGATAACCGATTGGATGGTGCCTACGAGTCACGAGCAGACGCTATAGACAAATGTGCAGAAGTGTCTGATGACAATGGGTTCAATATATTTGGCGTACAGAACGGTGGTTGGTGTGCATCCAGTGCTACTGCACTCACGACATATAACAAATATGGAACATCTGACGCATGTGGTGCTGATGGCGAGGGTGGACCGTGGGCTAATGATGTCTACATACTTCTTGACAATTAATGTACGTACTGTTTTTTTAATGTATTTTGTAAACGTATTGTTTTTTTGTTTTTTTTTGTGGGGGATATCTCATGTCTGGGGTATTTGCCTTTGCGTGTTCCTCTTTAACGCCATGTCTTACTGAACATCAGTAAAATAGCGCAGTATGATAGTAATTTGTTCTAATTATTTTTTCTTCCAGAAACGCTAAATGATACAACAGGAGCTATCATACGCCTTCCTATAAACCTACTGTCGATCACGATCAAACATACTATTTAGTAGAATATAACCTAGAGGTTCAATCATCGATCTACAAAATAAGAATATTTATTGTCAACAGATTTACAATACAAACTGGACTCGATATATTTATCTGTAAACTTAGCACGTGACATAGTGCCTTACAATAAACCACTATATATAATTAATTATACCAGGCAGTTTCATTTGATGTATGCTACACATTGGTATGCTACAACCTGGTGACCCTCTCACGTCATAATTTTCAGTTTCCAAGGCCAAGGACACAGTATATGTTATGTATGTATAATAGAAGTACAATGGAAAATTCCTAGCGTCTCAAACTGTATGGAAATCTAACCGGTCAGACTGTATGTCACAGTATGTGTACAATATAACTTAAATAGTAGACTGTCGACAGTCCTCGGGCCTAATGTAATTGTGTATCTTAGACTTGATGGGAAATGTGAAGCATCTTACGCGAGGAACTTCAGTCCCGAGAGACTGTCCCAGTCTACAGGTTTCTAGTTGATATGGATAATTCATAAGTTGACGCTGACGTCACAAAATAATGAATGCAAATTTATTCTAAATGGGCGAACCTCCTGAATGCGTTGGTTGTTCAACTCACGAACACAATGAACACAGACGCTCTAACCAAAATAACAAAGATAAGTATTATATCGCCGATAACTAAAGAAACCACGTGCATTGTTTATGGTAGTCAAATAGTAAATATAGAAAACCAGAGGAGACTGTTTCGCGGGATCAACATAACTACAACATGCGAAGAAACCGAATTTATTGTGTCAGAGACGATCGATCCACATCTTGACAGTTTGTACGCGTGCAGAAAATGTGTGCTGAGAGCGTAGATTCTGTATAAAAAACATCGAAGGTCCGACTTTATATGTCAATGACTTGCCGCTTCCCGTGGGCACGCTGACAAACACGTCTCTCCCCTCTGCGTGATAGTGTCTTGCTGATAATCTTCGCAATAAATATCATAGTAGTCTAAACATTCCAGGTCCTTTATAATGCATTCGTCAAGATTTGTTTGTGTCATAGATTAAAAACTGCTGTGAAAAGTGTAGTACAGTCAAAACAAACTTCGAGTAAGTCGTGGGCGATCCTTGTAGCCAGCGACCCCTGACCCTTTTCACGATTGGCCACGATAAAATGATAGACATCTGCGCGACTATCATTTGCATATGAAGGTACCCGGATCTAGTAAGAAATAATATTAATAATAATATTTTATTTACTTATATTGCGCTATTTACAGCAATAACTGATCAACAGCGCATGACATTAAACTATAAACTATACCAAAGAAAGAAACAAATAAGTTTTCAAATGTACCTTAAAATCAATAATATTGTTCCATTTTTTTGTCTTGGTGGAGCGTTCCACAAACGTGGTCCGCATACAGCAAATGTCCTATCACTACATGTTACTAAACGTGAAAATGGTACAGTAAGTAAGTTTGAAGATGACCTGAGTGTGTACAAAAGTGTCACATGTGGATGAAACATTTGGCTAATATAATAATAATAATAATAATAATAATAATAACTGGCCGTTGAGGGCTTTGTGTACTAAACAATACGATCCTTTACTGGAAGCCAGTGTAGAGAAATTAAAGCAGGTGTAATACAGTCATATTTTATCTTCTTATCTTCAAAACAATCCTAGCTGCTGCATTCTGTACCCTCTGCAATTTAGATAATTGCACATCCGTTATACCATATGATAAACTATTGCAGTAATCAAGCCTTGATCACACAAGAGCATGAACAATAATCTCGGTAGTTTTTGTTGAAAGATATTTTCTGATCTGGGAAATCCTATACAGATGATAAAATGACGATTTTGTTACCTGACTAACATGACTTCCCATATTCAAATGTTTATCAAACATCACACCCTGATTACGTACATCATTCCTGACAGAAATAAAACTTTGGGAAAAAATCAAGTTTAATTTCTTAATTTGCTGAGGCATGCCAAAAACTAAAATATCTGTTTTCTCAGGATTTAGTTTTAGCTTAATGCAGTACATCCAATCTTTCAGTTCACTGACACAATTCTTAAGATTAGTCATAGCTATGTCACGATCATATACTGAGTTCGATTGGAATGATATGTATAACTGGGTATCATCAGCATAGAGGTGATATGATAGTCTATGATGTTCTATAATACTGCCAAGTGGGAAAGTATACATGCTAAACAAAAGCGGCCCGAGCACCTACTGCCGAGGAACACCATATTTCAACATATTCATTGAGGGTGTTAGACCCTTGATCGAAACAAACTGGTACCTACTCGTTAAATATGATCTAAACCAAGCCAAGACCCTCCCCGAAATACCGAAACATTGTTCAAGTCGTTCTAATAAAATCTGACCATCAACAGTGTCAAATGCTGCACTCAAATCTAAAAGTACTAAAACACAAACATTTTGGCTGTCCATGGACATTAATATATGATTTTGTACTTTGAGTAAAGCAGTCTCTGTGCTGTGAAACTGTTTATATGCTGACTGGAATTTTTCCTCCAGTGAGCTTTTCTTAATATGCGACAGTACTTGAATAAAAACAGCCTTTTCAATCATTTTTGAGACAAATGAAACATTTGATACTGGTCGATAGTTACTGCATGCCAAGTCAAGGCCCTGTTTTTTAACAATGGTAATAGTATAACTTCTTTTAACTTTGATACATTTTATATAGCCACTAATCTCACCAATACACTGTTTTAACACTCGTGTGGGAAGGGGGTCACATGACTTGCTGGGCGATGCCTTAATTAAATTTAAAACATCATCTTCCGATAGTAATTCAAATTCCTTTAAAACATGGTCAACATGACGAATCGAATTGGTAGGAACAGTAGTGTCACTAATACTGGACCTTATTACTTTAATCTGTTAATGAAATAGTCATTGAAATGACATCCCAATTCCAAAAGGTGGACAAGAGTTGGGATATGGTATGATGAATTTGCAACACAGTCGGTCGTCCCTAACGGCACTCCATACTTCCTGTCCTGGTGTTCGCAATTTATTCGCGCCTATTACGTTTATACACCACATTTATTAATAATAACATATTTATATCAGGTACGACTGACTGTCGACAGTCTACCTAAATAGCATCAGTTGCAGCTATTTGTTGTTTTTATGTGGAAAATAGTCATCATTTCAAAATATAGACTGGCTGACAGTTTGTAGGGCATATATATTTTATTTGCTCAATAAAAAGATTAAAACGAGACGATCATCAAATCGCACCGTATTCGTTGTAGGTCCCATGCGACGTGCGTAATGCATGTCACTTACTGTTTGTTTACTTGAATCGGACACGGACGGTTTACTTAAATGACGACTTTGTCTCTTTAATGTACCAGTCTAAATGAACTCTACCAAATAAGATGTACACAATTTAAAAGGGAATGCTATCAAAACACTCCTTTGTTAGAACCCTCGTGCAATGAACTCATGTCAGACATACAGCTTGGACATTCATAAGAAAACTGACTACAGATTATAAAACTAAATAGAATATAATGTTGCAGGTGTTAGATCAGACGGCTGATCAGAATAACCAAAGAGCAGATCCATGACAAATTAATTTTAGGGAGAACATACCCGTGTGCGGTAAAAACAAAAAATAGTAATAATTTGGTGCTCACCAATAGTCACCGAACCTTTGCCAGGTTTTACTTGACCACACACGGGAGCTTTTGTGTTTATACTCAGCAATCCTACCCAATCAACGTTAGACGAGGTAGTTGAATGTCAGCGCAACATTAAAGATAGAAAAATCATCACTGGTTATTCTGTCGGACAAAAATGAGTACACTAATCGACTTTTTTTGTAAATGACCGCTGCGATGTCGTTTAGATGAGTGATACGAGACTTGTTTTTGACACGTCAAATAGTGTTCCATTTTCTACCATCATCTTCTCTAGTCTTCCACCGATCCATGTAACCATTATATTATGTAATTTTAATGCTACGAATGCAAGCTTCTGTATAATGATGCGTAATTTGAAATCCAAAGTACAATGAGCAAAGAACGAAGTTAACATGTTAAGATTTAAACTTGCAATGTGGAAATGTAATTGTTATTATTGTGATTTGATACTGTACGTTGATATATATATATATATATATATATATATATAC